CTTTGAGTTTTTGCAGGGTGGCATATAGGATTTTGGGAAAACCCTCAGTGTTCAGGCAGTAACTGCTAACCCAAGCTCCTGCCATCCTAGGTGCGTGGTTGTAAGGGAGGATTGAGCGGAAAGCTTGCTTAAAAGAAAAAGCTAGGCGACCTAGGGTGCACCGAGTGGTGGTACCAATGGCTAGGCCAGACCCTACTTATAATAGCAGAGCGGTCAGTGGTCCTGGCGCAGTCTACCTTCGGTTCCTGTGCAGGGTAACTACAAATAACCAGCCAGAAATTTTTGTGCGCTCGAGGCGAGCAGTGTCCGAGGCCATTAATGACTAGTACGCCTATAGGGCAAGGGTTCGGCAAGAGCGCAGAAAGGAGTACGGAGAGACGTGGGTCATGGCAGGCGTGAACCACAGGCGAACGCGAAACACGAAGCCATAGTTCAGCAGTAACTCCCGAACAAGGGTCGGTCAGTCGTGCACAATACGACTCGCTTGACATCTATGAAGGGCGCACCTACCAGCAATACGACCACGATGACTAAGGCATTACTAGCGCGACTGACTTAAAGGTCATATACTACGCGAGAGTTAGTCCACCAGAGAAAGTCTAGTAAAACCTATTTCGGATGCTTAACTATAGCAATAGATCTACTTATATACTTCATAGTTAAACGTCCTAACTTTTGCAAAAATAGGTTGTCAAATTTTAGTTTAGAAAAGGATTTTGAAGCTTTATTTTCTCATTTATGCTCTGATACCACCCTATGGCAGAACTACTTAATCTAATGCCTCCCAGGAGTACTTGTCTTTCATTAGACACTAAGTACCCAAGAGAGGACACTAAACTACGTAGTTCCGTCGAGCACACCCTAAGGGAGAACTCGAAAATCCACATTTTTCCATCAGGATCATAAATGAGAGAATATAAGCTTACAACATTCTTAAGCCATTCCTTACATCCTTTTATTACAGTAACAGAATATTACTTTAATTGATTACAATAGCGGAATATAGCAATGTTATCAGAGTTACAGAGGATGCAAAGATTAATTTAATGACCTGGTGGAGCATTAACCTTTAGTGAAGATTATAAATAAACACTACAGTCATAGCATGAAAGGAATCCTCTCTGAGCCCACCAGGAGGTTTCCACACACAACAATCAGCTCTATGTATCCTCCAAAAGGCTTATTTGGCTTGTGGATTATTGCATCTGTGGAAGCATTACTACACGTTCGTCCTTATGTTCAATTTTATTAACATTCATTATTAGTTTATTAACTAACCATTCTATGTAAGCACCTGTGCTACTTTCAAGTAGGTGGAAAGCAATCAGAACCAATTTATCACCTTTCAAGTTCTAGTTCTTACTACGGTGCTAGACCAAAGCCAAGTCGTACCGTCTCACGGAAACGACAATTCGTGAACCAATGTATCCTAGCTAGATACCCCAAAACACACGCCTCGCTTATACCCCAGGCACAAACAAGACCAACCCATTCCACTCCTGTCGAGGGGTCCAGGTCCCCATCCAAACTTGGACTCCAAGCCCCCATACTTGAGACCCGATCTAAGTATGGTGCTTAGACCTCCACCTTTCCCCGCCTCTAATCAGCCAGTCTGGAAAGAGCCAGAACTCACGATAAGAGCGTAACGAGCCTTCCCGCTCCCATAAACAAGTATGTGCTCAGGATAATAAATCTGTGACCCGACTACCATCCACAGCATCGAACGGTCCTCAATCAACACAGGCGGAACAAGTGCAATCCGAGCCTCGCTCGAATGCCTAACCAAGTCTAGATCCAAGTACCATTCCGCCCGGTCTCCAATTATCATTCATATATATTCCATTTGATAGTAATATAATAACAACAATAATATATTTCTTATCTCTCGCGAGTGACAGGTAATCACTCGACTTCTATCGGATCCTATAGTAGAGCAATCTACATGATCCTGACATATTAGTAGGACTCATAAGATAAGGATATATATATGCAAGTGGTTTCATTCAACTCCTTAAAACTTAATGCACAAGTATAAAATAAAGTGCAGAATAATAGGGGTTAAGCACCGGGCTTGCCTGGGTAAGATATAACCAAAAGTTAGCATTCCATCATGGCGATACAATCATCAAGGCACCATCTTTTCCGCTACTTCGGTCGACTCCATGATCCATCGCTGTTCCTATTATGATATACGTGGATGCAACATTGAGACACAATTAATCAACGGTAACTGCAACTCTTAAAAATACGATTACGCCTCTCAAGTTAACGAGCTATCTCTAACGACTAACGTACTAGGCTATGTGCCACGTTGTCGAGCAAGGCTTCATCTCCGGAAAATGTTCTAGTTTTAAAATCCCAATGTGTTTTGGTATTTTATTGATTAAATATATATTTTCGAACTAGGGCTCATTTAGCTACTTTGCAAATTAATTATTATGGTCCTACCAAAATTACAGTGAGCAACTAAAAATGTTAGGAATGTACTGAGAAAGTTTCAAAGACAACACTATCACCAATTTATCACAACAATTTCTACAAGTTTATATCTTACAATATTAAGTATCTCAAATTAATTAGATAACTTCTAAAAATATTATAAAACTATATGAACAAAATATACTAGCAGATAGATCATGATTTTAGGAACCTATCAAAATTAATTTCACAATTTTTGGCCAACTACATAAATTTCTATTGAATTTACAAGTTTACTTTACAAACTAAATTAGAAAATGCTTTAGAAAACAAAAATGGCCCATGCACGCATTTTAAAGCGTAGCAAAAGTCACTAACGATCACAGTTGAGGTTCAACTAACTCCCCTATCGTAAAGTCCACAGTGCCAACGACCTAGCAACGCCATCGCCATGACCAGAGAGCAACTAGAAAAAGAGATAGATGGATGCCAATATGAGCTCGTCGCGCTGAACGTCAGTTCACGAACAGAGCGCCCACGACATGATTTCACACGTTTGATCGACGATAGAGCAATTTTAAAGGAGGGCAACGTGACGTACAACACACCCACGACCCACACCATATCCAAGTACTCACTTAGAAGCAAACAACAATACCAAAACATGTGGCTAGTGTTTAAACATTTTCGTTAGAAATTAAATGTCAAGATAGTATTGTCTTTCTACTTTTCCCATACTTAGAAAAGTTAGGGTTCAGTTCGAACTAACAGCCATTAACACTTTTATTACAATTTTTAAAAGGCCTAAATCTTATTAATTTCAACAAATAAGCATTTCACACAATAGTCCATACTTCATACTAACCCATAGGAGCAAAATATTTAAGCACTCTTTAATTACTTTGCTCAATATAATTAGCCAAAAATGATACTTTAACTACAATTTCGACTTCTTGCTGATTCAACGAAAAGTTCTATTTAAATTTTGGATTTGATTTTTTGAGCTCCAAAAACACTAGTTAACAATATTTATTTTTCAAAAGTTAAAGTTGTTTTTCCATCTATTAAATTTGTACTTCAATTTTTATTTAAGTACTAAATACAAGTTATGTTTTATTCTTGTTTATAGAAATTGTTTTTCGTGCCAAACAATTAAAACTACTTTTTCTATTTTTCTTGTTAGGATTTTCATTAGCGCATTTACGCACTGAGTAAATTAACTTAGATATTTATTTGATTTTTCTCAACCACAAAAGTGAGTCGCAATAGAATTGGTTTATCATCTCACGTGCGTTATAAATTTTTAAAACCCAAAAACTTATTTGGCTAATTCCTCTCGGACCTAAATCTGCTAAGCAGGCTCGTAACAGCCGGGGTGTTTCACAGCGGCCGGCGACGGCGAGCGGGCTGGCGACCGAAGCTAGGGTCACGCGATGGTGTTTTCTAATGGGCCGTTCTGTGAGGCCGTTCGGCGGGAGCGTGCCCGGGTTACCATCGGCGGAATCCTATTACATCGGATGTCCGCACGCCAACAATTCCCTAATTGGAGTTGTCATCACCATTGATCCCGTTTCGTGACGAGACAGAGTGAAGCGACCTAAGCCAAATTCTGCTTACTTATCTTTGGTTTTTTTGCACCAAGAGTATGCTATGGTGATCTTATGTACGTTCAACCAAAACTTGAGGTTTTCAAAATCATCGCGGTTCACTTAAACATCACATTCCCTTTTCTTCAACAAAAAAAACAAGGCTTTGAAATCAAGGACCTCACAAGTCACATCTGCCGAAGTAGTCTATGGGCCACAACAGTTTGAACCAATAAGCAACGCACACAATAGCCCATTACAAATCCATAGGAGCAAAATATCTAGGTCTCTTTAAAATACTTTGGTTCAATAAATTCAACTCGCTCAACTCGTGTCCGGCTCGGCTCATTTTAACTTTTTTCATGAGCTGAGTTGAAAATCTAGCTCGCTGTTTTAACGAGCCAGCTCAAGCTAACTCGCGAGCTGCTCACGAGCTCAAACGAGCTAAGGCCTATCAGCCACGACCATGAATCCAAAAAATAATGATGCTGATCTACAAGTGTACACCTATTTCATTTATACGTAATCTTTATTTTCAGCTGTTTCATATGAATTTTGATTTTATAATTGTTGTGGTACTTAAATGTTGATTTATGGATTGTTTTCCAGGAAGAAGATGATGATACTGACATTGAATTTGTGGACTTTTTTAAGTCTGCGGTGACAAGTAACTAGTAAATATGCTGAACTGCATGGATCATGGATGGACCAGCTATGTTACATTGTTGGTATTTTTTATGAACATTAATCATGTATGGTTGTATAATAATGGACGTCACATTCTGAAATTATTATGACATAAACATTATAAATATGTGTCCTATATTTTTAGCAACTCGCAAGCTAAAAGAGCCAGCCTAGCCGTTTCCTCTCACGCGCGGCACAAGAACCTGAACAATTTGTTCTCCTGAACAAACAAGCATATATGTAATCGAACCAGACAAAGTGCACAAAGCCGCAAAAACACTAGCAAATTCCCTCGCCGATCAGCCTTGCCTACGTCAGCCTGAAGCACGCCAAGGCGCTCCAAAATTCTTCGGCCTCACTTTCATCCGCCATGTCCCAAGCATCATCAACCTCACAACATTTCGACATCCCTTCATCAAGCTTAAATGTACCGCCACCGTCACCGACCCTATCATGCCGCCTCCGGCAATCGTAGTAGAACGCCGCGCAGGCGCAGCACGCGGCGATCTTGGCCGCGAGAACCGCCGGCCCGAGCACCAGCGCCGGCGCGCCGTCACCGCAGAGCCACGCCGGTACCTGTTCGATAGCGGCGGCCACTAGACCAACGACGACGCCGCGTGCCCTGCGTCCGGCGACGAGCGTCTCGGCCCTGTGCACCGCCGCGCGGCCAGCGTACCCGTCCTCCTCCTCAACGACGGCGACGACGAGGCTCATCCTGCAGGCGATGTCCGAGTGCGCGAACAGCACCGGCGCGAGCCACCCCACCAGCGCCACCGACCCGGACGCCGTCAGGAGCCCCACGGCCGTGCCGGCTTCGCCGGTGGCCGCCGCGCCCAGGAACACCCGGAGCGTGAGCAGGAGCAACGCCATGGCCGTCGTGAGGAGCTCGATGTACAGCGCCGTCGCCGCGGGCCGCGCCCACGTGCGCCGCACCTCCGCGAGGAGATCCTCGAGGCGCAGCCGCCGCCGTCGACCCCGTCCGTGGCCGCCCCCGCACGCGGCCGAGGCCACGTACGCCGCGATGACCGTGGAGGCCATGGACGCCAGGTACCCCACCGGCTCAACGCCGCGCGCTGCCGCTGTTGCCGGGTCGTCGTCGTCGTCGTGCGGCGCGGAGATATTGGAGACCGTGAGAGCCGCGTGGCAGCACGCCAGGACCAGCAGCGCGACGGTCACCGTGGAGCGCTTCGTTTCGTCGCCCATGGCATTCTTGACGGACGAGGAGCATGGGCCTGGAACGGCGCAGGAGGCGCTCGCCATGGCCTTCTTGACACGGTGAGTTCGTCGTGCTGAGTGGTAGAGGTAGTGGACGGCACGGCGGGCGCGAACCGCGAAGCGCACCGGGTCCTATAGGTCGCGCCAAACTGTTTTGACTGCAATGAGCCAACGACTGCGCATGCTGAGCTTGAACGCCAGCTACGACTAGCTCACTTGGCTTGATCAGAGTCCTATTACGGCAGAAACCAAAGCTCTACTGGACTTCAACAAATAATTTACCAGGTTTTAGGGTTACATATACAAGTCAGAACTCTCAGACACAGTCAGTACTGGTGAGTGGTGACCAGCATGGCTGGTTTGAATAATTCAGGCGTGTGCATGGAACGATAAATTCAGACAGTGAGAATAATGTCGTGATTACGTGAACGCCAACTGCGACCTGTTCAACTGCTCCGGCAGCTTCTAGCTATCGATAGCTCAGTTGTTTTGTCTTTGTTTTGCTCATCTCTGTAGGACCGTTGTTGTTTTGTTGTACTTCCTAGTTCAGATTTACTCTCCTCGTCCTAAAATAATGACATTTTTTTATTTTCAGACATTTTATTTGACCATTCGTCTTATTTCAAAAAAAATTATAAATATCATCTATTTTGTCATGACTTATTTTATCATTAGAGATACTTTAATAATGATTTATTTATTTTATAATTTATACAAAATTTTTAAATAAAATGTCTTAAAGTTAAAAACGTTATTTATTTTGGGACGGAGGAATATTATTTTTAACATAGTTGAGAGCTTCTATTCATTTTAAAATAAATAAAGAAGACTAGCATTCAGGTGCGACCGTGATCATCGTGTGTAGTTGATGGCGCGAAATTTCAGAGGTGTTGTAGCACTGATGGAAGATTTAGGAGGTTTAGTTGCTTGTCACACTTCACTTTAGACAAATTTGATCAAGTTAATGTGTTTTTTTTATCAACTTTCAACATAGAGCCGGCACAGACAGTTTTCAACGAAGGTTTGCACCGGAGGCTGTAACAATTTCCTCGAAACGAAAAAGGGCTGAACTCAGAACTCAGCATGAGCCGACTTTTATCAGCTGCGAAAAACCGTCAGCCGAATAGCTCGCAAACCAGCACTGCTCTGCGCGAGCAGGCAACCAAATGCAGACCTGCAGAAACATCGACCCACCAGTGACCTGTCAGAACTGTAACCATCTTCAGATATTCAGAGTGCTGACTGCTTTGCTTAGAGCCTCCAACGTAGTACAATGTACAAGCACAAAAAGAAATGTGTGAAGTACGAATCCGTGTCGGACACTCGGACTTGGGAGGATGTGGATACAGAGCGTCCTACTATCTGCAGAATTTCGCCACTCTTCCGTAGAAGCAAAAACGAAACCAACGGTACCTAAAACTCTGCACGTTCTGGATGGAACCGCTGCCTAAGTTCGCCGCACAGCGTGGCAAAGCATACGTCGTCCTCTTCCACGTCCGGCCACCGTGAGCTCGCGCGCATGACGAGCTTCTGCTCCGCCGCGTGCGTCCCACGCTCCCCCTCCATACAGCCACATGCTACATGCCACATGGGGATGGCCATCCGCCACTGCCGAGCACTCTCCGGCTCTCCCCCCGCAGCGCCGTACGTGGACAACGGCCCTGCGCTGCTTTCTTCGGAGACGCTCCAGCCGGTGGCCGCGCCGAGCGTGAGCAGGAGCGCGACGCCTTGGGCGTGGCCACGAGCTCTGCTGTTCGACGGCGACGCGAGTGTGGATATATGCCGACTACGACCTGTTGTGCTGATTCCCAGGCAACGTGAACGTGAAGCCTTAGGCTCTGTTCGCTTGTGTGCTATTCAGTCGACTTTAATCCGTATAAATTAGTCGTGAAGTAATATTTTTCTCTCATAACAAATCAACCATACAAATCAGCAGAAGTCGATTTAATACCAGCTAATCAGGGCATTAAGGTTTTCATCATCATACTGTGATACTACCATAGGGAAATAATCCAAAGAGGCCTCGCCTGGCCCGAGCACCCTGAGCGTGCAGCGGCTCGCTCCGCTCGGCTGATTTGTTGTTCTGTGTGCATGCATGCAGCAGAGCAGAGACACGACGACCGTACCAGACACGACTTTCCTTCAAGCGGACGACGAACTCAATCAGCTCGTCATCATCTTCTGGCGTACATACGTGTTTGGACTATAGTTCCCATGGAAGGAAACAAGCGCAGCAGCCGCGTGCGTCGTTTCTTCACAAACGGCACACACTGTAAAACTGCAGCTCAGACAAAGCCCTAGAGGGCTAGAGATTTAATTTCTCGCATGAACAAAGCGCGTGTTCTTCTGCACCGCTGAGAGTTACGAATTTATCACAAGCCGCAAGCGATGGATCGAGTGGTAATAGCCTTGGCGACTCGCGAGTGGCGTCATGTCAGGGAGGAGGCCATGGCAGCAATCCCATGTGGCCATGTGGGTGCCACGCTCGTCTCTGCATGCGGCTGCTGGCGCGCCACGACCGACGCCCCGGGCACCGGGGCACGTCACACGTGAACGCTGGGCCGTATTCCGCATGCCACTTCTAGCCCGCCCCGGCCGGTGCAATAATACATACTCTTTCCTTTTCTTTTCAGCACGTACGAGCGCGCTGCCTCTTAATTTCCTTTTCTTTCTTGTACGTGGCTCCGTACGTATTCTTGCTCCATCTGCGCCGTACACGTACTGCTGGGCTGTCATGATCGATCATACACGCGTACGGGGCCATGTCCGAGAGACTCCATCTAGCTAGTTGCTGTACACGTACGTACTGCTTCTGTATTATGCTTTGTACGCCCTTCGATCTGGTTGCAGTGTTAGCAACAGGGAGTAGTATCTAGCTTAATGCTGTCATCATGGTGCAAACATTACGAGAAATAAGGATACCGATCATTTGCTCTCACCGAAGCTATTGCATCGTTTGCCCGATGATGGCCTTCCGGCCGATCGCATAATAAGAGAACTCGGCTGGGTATACAAGCAAGCTTACCTGTTATGTAGGCGCCAACTCCCCGTTCTTTCTCTTCTTTCTTTCTTTTGGATCGGATTTGGTGGCATGGCCAAGCGGTGAAGGCAGGGGACTGCAAATCCTTTATCCCGAGGTGACAAGGAGTGTAGTAGATGTCATGTCGACTTTTGATGGTCGTCCGATGTGATGCAGGATATGATAAGCTAGTGGTGGTGTTCAATGTATGCGCGTCAGTCACTATGTTCTCTTCTCTTTTCCAAAGTGATCTAGGGGTGTTTGTTTGGTTGCACCTCTTAAACTTTAGTCACTGTCTCATCGTTAATGGAGTATTAAATAAAGACTAATTATGAAACTAAATACATATATTGTGATTAATTTGCGAGACGATTTTTTTAAACCTAATTAGTCCATGATTTGATAATATGGTGCTACAGTAAACATATGCTAATGATTGATCAATTAGGCTTAATAAATTCGTCTCGTGGATTACTGACGGATTCTGTAATTTATTTTTTTATTAGTATCAAACACACCATGCAACACCCTATATGACATCCGATAAGATACCTCTTAAACTTTAGGCCCTGTTTGGTTGAGCTGTGGGTGGTGTGGGAGAAAACTCATGTAGACGGATTGGAAAAAGGCTTGCTGGTACATGTAATTTAGAAAAGTTTTTAATATTTGGTTAAACAAGTATAAAATATACCTTTTATCTTTATCTCTCTTGAAACAACTATGGAAGAGCTTTTATTCCACCAATTTCGAAAAGCAAAGCCCAAAAAAAACGAGGTCAAACCAAATTTTCAAAAAATGAACTCTTAAACTTTAGTTTTTGCTTTTGGAGCCAAAAGCCCAACCAAACAGGGCCTTAGTCACTGCATCTACACACCCTTACTAAGCAGCAATAAACTAAAAGATCACCACGTGCTTAAAACACTAGCAAGATGGTACTCCTCCTGCTACAAGAAGACATCGAGGTAGGCAGAGGCAATGCCGCTTTCGAGTTTCGACTTTCGACTGCATGCAGTCCCCGCCTAAAACGGCGGCGCGCCGTAACCCGTAACTCCCAAGCGTGTCCCCTACCGTCGATATGATGCACGAAAGGCTAGTTCATGTCATGTGTGCTCCCACGAAGTTCATTCCCCGTGCGGCAGTGCGCGAACAGAATCGCGCGTGTCCATGTGATCGCCATGTGACTCAGCGTCAGCGATCTGCCTGCCTTTCTCGGGGCACGCCGCGGTTCAAGAAAAAGGGACGAGCTGCATGCCGCTGCCGGCCGCCCCCTGTTTCCTGGAAATTTCCGTCCCTCCCAGAGCTAGCGCTAGCGTCTACATGCATGCATGCTAACTATTCCGATCCTGCTGTCCGGCCATATACGCCTGGAATGTCTAATACGTGTACCAAGTTACCATGCTCGCACATCAAGTCTTGTTTTCCTCCTATCTACACACGTGCCGGTCGATGATGGCAAACACGTGCCAAGAGAAGAGATTAATTAGAGATGATGACGGCGACGACGATGATGCTGCTGCTGCTGCTGCATGAGAGGTAGCTAGCCAGCACATTAGCCCATCACATGCACGTCAACACAGCCTCCATCCGGGCCGTCCCCCTCGCCGTCGCCGGGGCGCTACCGCCCAGACCGCTGCCAAGTGCCAAGTGCTTGGCCAGCGCGCGCTGACGCTACATGTGCAGAGCCATGTGCGCGGCTTGTCCGATCCTCCAGCGTCCAGTCCAGGGCGGCCTCTGTCCCTCCAGGCCAACGCGCGTAATCTCGCGTGACCATGACACACGGAGCGACCCAGCAGCGATGCAAACCTTTGGCGCCGCTAGCTCTCCATCGGTTTCGATCGTCGGCACATGCACGTACGTGTGAGGTTAGCTCGCACTGACACTCTAACAGAGGGCTTGTGGACATGTTTTTGCAGTACATGTCAACATTGTATATATGGCTAATGGCTAACTAGTGCCACCACGAGCAATTGTGCATGCATGTTACCTATCACTATACTTTGGATTTGGTTGGCAGCTGGTTATAGTTTACTCCATCTCTTTACCAACGTGCACATTGCAATGCACTTGTGGTCTAATTTCTTCATACACATGCATGCATCTAATCTAATAATCCGATTCTCCGACAGTAGCCATTAAACAAGAGGCGACGAGCACGTTCCGTTCGATTATTACAGAACAGAGGTTAACGTAACCACGCGTCGTCCATGGGAGATAACACGCATGTTCCGTCTCAGCCACATGCCATGTCTGAGCCACACACAACATGCCGGGGCCGGCCAAAGCCATGTACACGCGTATATAAACAGGCATGAGAGCCCCCCTTCGCTGCTACCAGCAGCAGCACAGCAGTCTCTCAGCATTCATCAAGCAACATTGTTACTTGAATCACATCATTCCTCCTCATCACCTAAGGCAAAGAGACAAGAAACAACAACATGCGAGGCCCTAACGCCGCTAGCAGAAGCACACCAAGCAAAGGCGGCGGCGCCATGGCGGCCTTCAAGCAAGACCTGTTCAGGAACCTGCTCCTGGGCCTCCGGGCGCGCACGACGGAGGCGGCGTGCCCCTTCGACGCCATGAGCCTCCAGGAACGGAAGCGCGCCATCAAGTGCTCCGCCGACGTCGCCATGGCGGCGGCGCGCCGCGGCGTGGCCGGCGCCGCCATCGGCGGGCGCGCGAGGTGGCCCAAGGCCATCTTGGCCGCCGCCGCTGCGTCCAGCTCCAGCCACAGCCCCGGCGGCACGTGCAAGGTGAGGAAGAGCGCGTGCTGCAAGAGGCGGGTAGCGAGGAGGCGCGTCGACGCGAAGAGGACGATCAGGGGCTACGCCGCCGCGGCGAGCTGCGACGTCGCGCGGAGGCTGGTGCGGAGGAGGACGATGGCGCTCCGGAAGGTGATACCCGGAGGGAGCGCCGCCGCCATGGACGAGGCCGCGCTGCTCCGCGAAACCATGGACTACGTTGTCCATCTGCGCGCCCAGGTCGACGTGCTCCGCGCCGTCTCGGCAGCCGTGCAGAGATCCACCTTCCTCGGGTATATATTTGTGTTGCATTTTGTGGATCCAATGAAAGACTAGTAATTCGTTCTTGACACAGCTCCATTTTGCCACACACAGTGTGTACCTAAACTTTTTGTCGATTTTTTTTCTCATGCAGGGATCCTTCTCAAAGTATGGGAGAATCATAGTGATTCCTGGTTCAGAAGATCGAGAAGGAAATGCATCTGAAACAAGATCATGCGCGATCTGACGGCGATCAGAGGACGGATCTCCGAGCTCGTGGTAGTGGTGAAGAATTGATCGGGTTTTGGTCTCCGTTCGCTTTGCTAAAAAGATATGGCTGAAAGTACTATTCGATGATTTATTGTGTGAAAAAAAAACACTGTTAGTTCGCTAAAACAGTACGGTCCGTATTCGCTGATTTATTGTGTGAAAAAAAAACACCGTTAGCTCGCTGAAACAGTACGGCCGTAAGACCCGCGAATAGGCCTTTGTCTCGCTTCATTAGTGGGACATGTGTAAGCTAGCTAGACAGCTACTGTTGTACGGGGAGGAAAGGGACGACTTGCTATTGTAGATGATTATAGAAATGGGTGCCAATTTAGTCTCACTTAATTATGGCCACTCATTGCCAACACAGAAAGAGGAAAAGGAGCGTAAAATACCAAAAAGATCATTGATCAGCGGGCTATCTTGCTCGAATCATCCATGCAAGTGCGGTTTACGTTGAAAATCAATTACTTTCAGTAATAATGATTTTAGGTTTTGCAGAGTTTGCATATATGTTGATCTTGCCACACGAATTGGTATAGAGTAGCTTCACGTCGCTATTAATCATTTTGGGCTAATTTGAAACTCAAATCCCTTTGGATCCCTGACTTTTTTCGTGGTGAAAATCCATGGGAAAATAATTTGAATAACTGTTTAGTATTTTCCTTCCCTGTGTGTGCCTCCCCTTTTTCAAATTAGTCCTAAAGTTCAGTCAATTTTGCTAAAGTTTTAAGGTTTGAAAATTGTATCTATAAACATCCCATTTTGCTAAAGTTTTTGGGCTCTGGACGGGGCCAGACCTAGGCGGGCCATCCAATATTTTTTAGTATGAAAATAATTCAAGTAAATAAATCTAGCCATGTTCAGAAAATAACTTTTTCAGGTTCACATTTCATTGTCTAGTCCTTGTTGTCCACTTAGCACATCGGGCCAAGACTAGTAGGTTCGGGCCGGATCGAGCCGAAAATGCCTAGTCATGTCTAGCACAATGACATACACAATTGTGTCAAATAAATCCCAGTTAAGTTGCTATTTTTTCAAGGTATGAACGCGAGATTTGAGTTTTAGGGTTCGGCTCTAAGGTGGTGCCCACATTATGATCATGCATTGCCAATTGGCACGAAGTAGATCCCTGATGTATTAAACCGTTTACAATAAATTTCAGCCAATTTTAATAATAAATTTCGATGTCACTTAAAATTGTTTGACTTCTCGGGATGAGAGAATTGTTTTTTTTAACAAAGAAGGTACATTTTATGCTAGTACTAGTAGTGGACACTTAGGTTCTACTAGTTGGTGGGTTGGATTGAAATAATAAAATTTTGGAGTGGGTTGGGTGGACAAAAGAGTTAATTTGTTATGGATTAGGTTGGGTATGGGCCATCATGGGGTGAGTTTTAACTCATTAGCAGGGCTAATCGGGGCACTCCAATTATTTCACAAAACCCCCTAACACAACGTGATTACAAATAATTTATATAAAACACCCTAATATAAAACGAGACGTAACTAATGTTGGGTTTAATTAGGCATGTCCCTATTTTATTTTAGCAATTGAATCAAAGAAAATTCTAAGACTATAGTTAATGTTAGGTGTAACATGCGCATGTTCTTTATTACAGTTTAATTGATGGTTTGATGAGTGTCAAGTGCATTCTGACCATTATTTGTTAGTGATCATGATGATTATTATGTGCTAGTAGGTCATGAGTCTTAGTGGTTTTTTGTAAGTTTCATAAGTTACCGATACGAACGATACTATGATAACCACTATCTCTTCATGTGCATGGCTTCCTCTTTTGCTGCATAAAATGGGCACTCCTTATCTTGTTCACGAGGAAGAACATATAGCGCCAATAAGGCAATAACACTACCACACTGTTGTTGTGCTTTTCTCTGCCATTTCCATTTAGCCCTTGTTTAGTTGGAGTCCAAAATCCCAAAAAGTGCTACAGACTGGAATGTTTGCGGATGCATGAGAGCATTAAATTCCAAAAAACTAATCCATCTGGTTGTTGCATTTTTTGCACTTAGTCCATGTTTGAACAATCAATTTTTAAAAGCGAAGGTGCTAGGTAATTCCAAATTCATAGAACTAAACAAGGGCTTAGACGCTTTGTCGCACTTCAAAACTGTTCCTAGTGCATTTGCGAGTCGGTAGGCGTTTTTAGGTAGCGGTGCTTTGTACACTCATGTTCCTAGTGTTCGAGTACGGCGTTTCTGGTGTTAAGTACAATGTGACAACGATCAACTACTTCCACTACTTCTCGGCGACCTCCTGTTCACAGCGTCATTGTCTACTTCCCGTTGGTGGCCTTGACGTAATCGGCACTACGACCTCTCTACACTGCATCGAGCTGAGACGACTATATCAATAAATCACTATGTCTATTGTAGCAACCTATCTTTTATTTTCTGTGATTAAAATCATGATAAATAACAAAATTTTATATCTCCGAGTCCGAGGATATGTCACGTGGATGCCTTAATTTGAAGGTACCCAGCGGTAAAGGTCAACCAAATTATAGATGTAAATTCGTTTCATTTTTATTTTTAAATTTAAATTATGGATGTAAATTCGTTTCCTTTTTATTTTTTCTTTCTTTAAAAACAATTGTATTCTACATTGTTGTGCCCAAGTGTAAAAGCTAAATTCCGGTGTATGCTGCAGTATAGATGAAAATATTCCCCATCTTTGTTCAAGTTTGTCAAGCGTGCTCTCATCTGAGAAGTCCAAAGCCATAGGTATCTGCAAGCGAGTAGCATCCAAAATCTTTCGATAAGCATCCAACTTTTGTCCCTGCAGTTTAAAGGTACTTTTTCGATGAAATTTCAGCAAAACTGGCAATAATTTCCCTGAAGGAATCCATGTAGTTTTCAGCAGTGCACATCCGAACAGAAGCGTTAAAATTCAAGATACGCAGCCACAGAACAGGCCAATTTTTTTTTCGACATATCTCGATAATAGCCTTCGGACACTATCATCAGCGTTCGAGGGCAAAATAGCATCAATTGTGACATGAACCGGACACATTAATACATACGGTAGCTTGCTAGAGACACAGGAGCGAGCCCAACTCACCGAAACGCAGTCATTGACATAGCCTAACAACCTATACTTTGCCACGCGCACCTCATTTCCAGGCCGGGTACGAGTTGTCCTGCCGATTGTTCCTGAACGCGCAGCACCCGACGGAGTAGACGACGATGAGGAAGATCAGGAAGATGATGTTGACGGTGGCAATCTTCTTCCAGTCGTTCTTCAGGTTGGCGAGCACGCCTGCCTTGCAGGCCATGCAGTCGTAGCAGAGCACGGTCTGGTCGTTCGACCATGTGGTGCAGTCGGGGTCGTCAGTTGTAGTGTTGAAGCCAGCGGGCTTGATCCAGACAGTCTCGCTCTGGTAGGTGAAGTTGCAACCCGTTGGTGGCTTGCAGCATCCAGACTGGACATAAGATAGGCTTGTTAGCTGCATAGAAATCAGTTTCTTTATGGAATGAAAATGCGCAAAGTTCAAGAAATGTTCAACTGGGGTGGAGTAAATATTGCTCAGGGCTGTGAATTGATCATGTAGCAAGGTCAACGGGCCATGTTGGATTCAGTAAATTACAAGAATGAAAACATCAATCATACATTATTCAGGTACACATTCGCAAGGGAATTGTCAATGGAGGGACATTTCAGAAAACACATAGAAATTACTAAATTAGAATTCCAAATGTCGGCTAACAGCTCAGACAAAAACACTATCATCCAGAGGAACAATTCCAAGGTTGCAGACAAAACTGACAGAACTCCTATATTTAGTGAACATTTGGCTCATGAAGTCAAGGCTGGAGTAGACACATTTCGACTATATAAGCAAGATGATGGTCTGCATGTAAGAGTACACCTGCTCCACAAACCAATAGTATCATACCCCTACGTTGCAGTGCAAAAGCTTGCAAGATAACCATAAATGGCAGAAACTTCATATAAGGGGTACTGTAACTAGCAGTACACCATGACAGTTGCAGATAGTAATCAGCATATACTTAAGAAGGCCAAATTAAGTGTAGCACTAGTGGGCTGCAATTAAACACAGGGAGGGGTCCACATATTATGGTAGTACTGATAAGCAGCCTGTTCGTTTCGGCTGAAACGATCGTGGATTATAAGCCAGAAGTACTGCTGGCTGGTTTGGTGTGAGAGAAAAATACTGTTCCAGCTTATAATCCACGATCGTATAAGCCGAAACGAACAGGCTGAAGGAAGGTCTATCAAACGTCAGCATCATTTATTGGTAAGTCACAAAAGCTAACATGACAATCTACAGCAAACATCCTTATGCAAAGGAAGACTAAGTTCAGCAAGTCATCATATCTCATTGATAGACCAATGCCAAATTCCAGAAGAGGCACTACAATTATAACTTGGAATTTGGTACCTCCATGTCCAATTTACAATCAGCGGCACGCCGGCACCTCTTGGTACAAGGATCGTACAAAATTTCTTCAGCAGAACAACATATGCCCAGAATCCCAGATGCAAAAATACAAATTACCATTCACCAAGGCAGTGATGTTTATTGAATTATATCACATTGCTCTTGCTTCATCAGAACAATGTATTACATGGACGTGCGATGAAATTCAGTAACATAGATTTACCAGAAACATCAATTTATTATAGTCACTATCTAAAGACTAGTTGATCTTTGCCAATGAACTGGTATAACCATGCAATGCAGTCAGAAATTGCTTTCTGGACCTATAGCCGAGTAACTACAACCACACTCAAAGATAACTGAAGAGGAACTAGGGAATTAACC